TTCTGATTGCACAGAAGCCATCGACCGAGAAAATTCCGTTTCTGCAGCAACGTGTGCAATGAGCAGTTATTATAACGTCTATCCTGATGTCCCTTTCCCATAAAGCCATATCTGTCAGTGTACCGCAGAAGGAAGGAAGGTAAATTGCCAGCACTAGAACGTTATCCGCATTCACTGATTTCACAGGGAACTGCGCTCCTACCGAATGAAGTAATCCGATCAGGAGTGATGACAGTGATGCTGCGCCGACTTAGAAAGCATTAAACCCGCTTACAGAAGATAACTGCGAATTCAAGCCGTCACACCCTCAACATATGCAACATTGCTTCATACCAAATTGAAGTTGTGAACCTCACAGAGTCATATCATATACAAGACAGCTAACTTTGGAACCGCTAGTCATGAGTCACGGCCACCTCTGGGCCATGTAGATGGTATAAAAAATTATGACACAACTATAACCCGTTCTGCGTTCTTCGACCTTTACCATTCTCGAATATGCAAGAACTTCCGGTCTGTCGTGAATCGAAATGACTTTACGAGCATCATAGCCATGACAATAATTAGGGTCTGTTTCTACGTGCAGATGCACCCTTATCATCTGTAGGCATCGAAGCGTCGAAACTCGAAGAGGTGAGCTATCGGTGAGCTTTAATAGTGAATGCTTGACCGGCTCAGAGCGGTGTGCTCATCAGCCCATATTGAACTCGACAGAGTTACCGTGCATGGTTGACTGTTCGCCAAACGGTAGCGTAATGTTTGTAAGTGAAAGACCGATATACGCGTAAAGTTCTCAATATGTTGAAAGGAACGATTTTACTACCTTGATGCAAAATTAGCATGCTTCAATAGTCGTGTGCCATTTCATACTGTGCAAAACGTGGACGCGTGAATTTGGCAATTCTGACTTGAATAATCGCCGAGTAACTTAATAATCCAGTCGGAATTATTTCAAATTAAACATTCATTACGGTAACGCTGAATTAAACTTTAAAAATTCATTAGTCTTGGACAACCGATTTTTAAAAACTGCTCGATTGTCATTACTATCAAAGCAACTTTTACGTATGCCACACACAACTTTGATTACACGGCAAGTAGTTCCTGCGCAATTCCTGAAGCAGCCAAAACGGCAGGTCTTTCCAGTGCTTGATTTCCATCGTCCATTTGTAACAGCGGACGCAAAACCTCTCTATCGAAAGCGGGCATCGGTCGGGCGAACCAACGCACCTGTGACAGATCAGTCGGCTAAAAGCAAATCATAAAGTAGCCTTTGCGCTTTGAATTTCGACCATAATACGCGGTAACACAATTAGCCAATAAACTATATGCGCTAGTTTTGGAATGCGTATCGGAAATTGAAAAGAACGTAAAGAACTTGAACAAGCCGACAGGTTAAAGAGGGGCAATCGATTGTCGTACGGGAGAGGGTCGCAACTTTGCTATCAGCTGCTTAGGGGACCATTTCACTAGACCATTCGATGCCATGTTTGCACCTGTAATGAAACGATACATCTCGCATGATCTTACTCTGGTCAGAACAATGTCTTGCTGCCGCCGAAGCACATATTCGTCCTCACGAACTATAGAAATATGAGTTCTTTCATTGTAAATGCGTTGACATACATGACAAAGGAGTTATCCCCTTGTAAATAGGTATTAAATCATTTCAGTCACTGTAACTCGTTGTATGAAGACGTATTTCTCATAATCTTGTTTGCTAGAGCTACGTCTTCTCGCTCCTAACTGTTGAATATCCTTGAAGTATTTTCCAGAAAAAGAAGCAAGTGACAACATATACGCATCACGTGCCGTCGCCATTTAATGGATCAGTTGGTTTTGGCACGGCATCCTTTGGTCATCGCCAGTAAGTCGAGGTATGAATGCTTCTCGAAACCTAGATTTCACCCGTCAGAGTGCATTAAAGAGAATCACTACTACCAAACCGAGTTTAAGCGAGCTGCGGCAAAGAAGGAACCATTTGAAATGATGCCAAATGCCACGTTTGTACTACAGGTGATAAACTACCGTATGAATCTCAATCGTCCCTGAATCAATTTACGTGCAAGCGCAAGAGCCGGTGCCACCGCTGCGTAAAAGCCGATGTCGTTTTAGAGCTACGTGTTCGTTTTCGGTGGATAATTTAGGACCTTAAGTCGTGGATTCAGGATGTCTGCAAACGCAACTGGCCTACCATACCAAAGGATTGCTTTGGTGGTGGTCAACGACATCCGCTCTGCGACTGAGACCATCGCGAACATCGTCCTGGGAGATGCATCTCACCACCTGCACGATATAGTTTCCAGGTGTAAATAGAAAGTGAATGAGGCGTATGGATCTGAGTCTAGTGTACCCTCTCACTGAAGCCTTCAAAAACTCAGTACTGCATTACCTGATCCAAATTCTAAAGGATCCTCATGAATTCATTGACAAGTAACTTAAAAAGTTATTAAGGCTTTTGTTTTCTTATTCACTGTGCATGATTTTATTTTTCCCAGGTGCTGAAACGCTGAAAAGTGGATTAGATACTTGCGTTCATTACGTTATGAACGAAAATGAGCTAAACATTGTGCAAACATTTCGCAGAAACACCCAAAGGTTTGCTGTTTAGAAGCCAGTGCAATCGACACACGCCTAGGAGGTAAGAATTTCTTTGTATGTCAACTCGCCAGTATTTGAAAGTGATGTTAACCTTGGAAGATTTGCCGCGAATTGGAGTCAAGTCGTCAAGTGGACTGAAAATCGCACTGACAAAAGGTATTCTTTTGCATGTGAGAGGATGTACCAGCAAAAACAGGAAAATTTTAAATCTCGGTGGAACAAATATTCAGTATTGGCCTAATCATTAATTAAGCATTATACAGCAACAGACTCAGTGCACATTATGCAGATACACAAAATATTGGATGTATCGTTCGATGACGGTTTAATTGTTAACTTTGAAGATACTTCTCACGATTAAGAAAAGACACAGAGTCGAACTCAGCCCTGTCACAGGATAACGAACAACAACTCATCAGTTCCTTTAGAGACGATTATGAAAGTCACAGAAAGTATGAACAACCAGTCACTATAACGTGACGCTAGCCATAAAAATGTCTTGACGTCACGCACTGATTAACTGATAAATGGAGTAGCCGGAAAACAAAGCATCGGCAGGTGAGTGTACTGTAACTATATACAGCTTCCCTAAGTATATGTCCACCGTTTAGTCATATCTTAACTGGGATATGGATTGCCTGTGGATAACCAAAGAGCACTCTTTACGTTAACAGCCAAATATGCAGTGTATAGCAGTACATTATGAGCTTCTAACAACTTAAACAGAAAACATTAACTACTGGATGTTCCGTATATAGAAGAGCCAAATTCCCGCAGCAGTACGAACCGACAGGTTGAAACCGTAGCCACCTGCTACCGTGTACCGACATCTGTGCTTGAGTAAAATCTGACAAGTACTTCACCGCTCTGAATTCATTAGGCTGATTCAAGACTGAGGAGACATCGACAACGGTTGACGAGGGTTGAGACCTCAAATCAACTACCGAACATCCATTCGTATGGAAAAGCTCAAGTAGAAACAAGGTCTGACGAGCGTCGACTCGCGTCTCCCATGAGGGCGCCTCACATGGGTATAAATCGGAGGAAGTACGATGCGGAGTCAAAATTACAGTAACGTCCACTTGCATAGGTGATATTAATCGCTGCTACTTCTAACGTGGCACGGAGCTGATCAACTGTTCACTTTGCCGGTGAAGACATTTACGCCATTGATGACTTTTAGCTACGTTTAACAGCCTCGGTTATACAAAATGGATCGAAATGCGATTGCTGAAATGACTCAGCGGTGACGATAAGCGTCGAAATTTCTAATGCCCA